ATGCTGCCCGGCAGCGTGCGGGGCCGGATCCGGCTGCGTAGTGCTGGTGCTTGCTCTGCACCTGCTCCAGGCACACGGAGGGACAAGGGACAGCTTTTGTCCCTGTGTATTTTCAGGCAGGGATGTCACCGCAGGCAGCACTGCAGCCGCTCTGCTGGCAGCTCCCGAGGGGACACGGTGGGGCAGACTCAGCCTGGGCTCCGGCACCCCGGAGAGCCCGGCGGCACTGGCTGCATCTATTTTTGCCACACTTTTTCTCAGCTTGATTGCTAACTCCTGTGTTGCAGTGAGAAAAACAAGCAGGTTTGGAGGTTTTTTGCAACTTCCCCCCCCTGCACCCCGCGTGGCTGCTGCTGCGTTAAAAGCAGGGTCCTGAAAATGAGGAAACGCGGGGCCGGCGCAGGAGCCGGGCTGGCCCCGGCGAGGAGCACGGAGGAGCTGCGACCTGCTGGCCCCGGCGCCCGGAGAACCCCCTGGCCCCACTGTCCCGTGCCCAGGTAACCCCTGCCCCGTCGTCCCCCTTCCCCACACAGCGGGGTGGCAGCAGAGCCCGTCCCCAGGCTGCGAGCACCCATGGGGTGGCTTTGCGGGTGCCCGGCGGGGTGGCAGCTTGGTGCTGTCGGAGCAAATCTCGGTGCAGAGCAAACACCGTCAGGCTCCCGGCTGCCCTGGACCCAACCAGTCGCTGCCTGCCCCGAAATGGTGGCGGGTGCTTCACCCTGCCCGGGAATTGAAAACCAAAAACGAGGAAGGAAGGCTTGGTGGGTGCTTGCTGCTGGTAGCAAGAAGCAGAGCTGTTTTCACTTCTTTCTTCTCCCTTTCCTTTTCGCTGCCCTCTTGGTTATCAATGAAGCGGCCCAGAGCAGCGGGTGGGTGGGTGGCACGGCCCCCGCCCTGGCTCCCTTCCTTCCCCAGGGGTCCCTGCTCCCGGCTGAAGCCGCTGATTGATTTTTCCGCTCATAAACGGCCACGATCGACCGGGAAATAAACACACGTGAGGGAGCGGGGCTGGGCAGGCGGCTCCTCGGTGCAATGAGTTTGGGGGTTCTCAGCTCTGTCTCCAGGGCTGAGCAGGGCATCGCTCCCCTCTTCTCCCTCCAGCTTTTGAAGGGGTGGGCAGGAGATGTGTTGCATTTGCAGCGTGTGTGTGTGTGTGTGTGCCTGTACGTTGCAGGCAGGACAGACAGCGCGGGTGCTGCTTCCCCGTGAGCCGCCCAGGGAGGGTAACGCGATCCCCCTGTATTTCACAGGGGCTAAATCTGGAAACTGCCTCACGGCGGCTTTTATTTCTAACCCCCACCTGGGCGCAGCGATGCGCTCGGGGAGGTGGAGGTGGGGTGCCGCGTGGGCACGGGGATGGCGGTGCGGCTCCGGGTGTTTTGTCCCTTCGGGGTGGCACCGGGTGCCCCACGCCGGCTCTCCGCAGTGGGTCCAGCGGCAGCCCGGCCCCGCGCGTTGCAGAGCGGCACCCGATGTCACTCCAGAAAGTACCGGCAGTTGCTGAGCAGCCCACCCCATGCCTCGCTCTGTCACGGCCTGGGTGGCTGTGCCTCTGGGCTCCCGCAGGGACGGGGAACAGCTCGGGGCTGTGCAAAGACCTGTGGGGGACGAGCGAGGGTCAGGGCAGCTCTGGGTGCCGCTGGGTATCCTCTGGCTGGAGCCACCCCCGAGTGCCGCCCCGGCGTGGGGGGAGCACGTTGGGCTCTTGATGAAATAACACCCCCAGAAGAAAAGCAAGAAAGGTCCAGAAATAACCGTGTCGCTAAACAGCAGCAGAGATATTTTGAAGGGAGATTAATTCCCTGGCTCCGGCCCTGCGCGTTGTCCCAGCGGTGGGTCTGGTGTGCGGTGGTGGAGCACGGCTGGTGCCTGGACAGCCCGCAGGCGCTGATGGAGCCCACCGCTCTCCAGCACCCAGGGGGGTTTTCACTCGAAGAGCTGCTCTGGCTTTAGGATGCGATCCTGCAACGAAGCGGGATTAGCTTTTTCCCCCACTCCAAGGAGGCAGGGGCAGGGTCGCAGGGTTTTTGGAGCACAGGTAGAGTTTCCTTTGGGAAATGGGTCCCTTTTCCCTGCATTCCTGGCTTGACCCCGGGCAGGTGCTTTGGGCTCCCCCGTGGAGCTGGGGGGCTGCAGCCGGGGTCAGGATCAGCCCGGCTCCGCGGCTTCTCCTGCTGATGGTCGGCGATGGGCAGCACACCCTGTGCTACGGGCAGGGGGTCGAGGGCCCACCTGGGTACCGGCTGCTCCAGGCATGGAAAAGCCACCCTGTGTCCGCCCTGACGCCCGTCCCCGCTCTCCGGGCAGGAAAGGTGGCGTCAGGGAGCGGAGAGCTGCCAGGGCTGTCCACCCTTTCCCTGCTCCCTCCTACCTTCCCGCCCTTCAGCCCCTCTTCTTCTCCATCCCCTTCCTGTTGTTCCATCGCCCACCCTGGGCCTCCCACTACCTTCCTCCCTCCCCTCCTCTGCTCTTCCCTCTCTGTGACCGATGGGGATGTCTCCCCAGCAGGTGCCCTGGCAGCGCCCGCCGGGAAACCCAATGCCTGGGCATGCCCTGGCCGGCTGTGCTGCCCGCTCGGAGCCAGGCAAGCCGCTGCCCGTGCACCGGGATGGACCCTCGCCAGGGTCCCCTCCAGGCGGGGACTAAGCTGGGGCTGCCCCTGGCATGGGGGTGGCTCCAGCTCAGCGGGAGAGCCACCGGGCGTGCTTTTTCCGGGATGCTAACATCTTTCGCCTTCCCAGGAATAACGGACATCCCGGATGGAGCTGCCGTCCCACGTGCTTTATTTCTGCCCCCCCTGGACCACGGGACGGCGGGAGGCATCCCTGGGGTGGGGCGCATGCCCTGGGGTGGGGTGCCTGCACTGCGGCGCCGGCCGGATCCCCATCCTTTCCCACTGCCGGCTGCCTCCCTCACGCCAGCCACCCTCCCGCCGGGGCTGACTCAGAGCGAAAGCAGAAGCTGCTCAGTGTTTTGGGGGGCGGGGGGGAAGCCAAGCAGAACCAAGCAGGTTATTTTAAACCTGACCTAATTTCCCCCCTCTCCTTATCGGGCTCTGGCCACCCTTCCCCATCCTCGCCCTCGGCGGCTCCCCTTCTCGACAATTTCCCAGGGGAGAGGGTAGCGCTTTTGGCTCCCCCCGCCCCCGTTTCTTATAAAGGGGCAGCTGGGGGGATCCCGCAGCCAGGCAGGGTGATGGGACCGGGGCCGACGGGGGTGAGCGGGTGCTGTGCTGTGGGTGGCTACGCCTTGGCACGCTTCACATGACACCATCCTGCCCCCACATACTGGCTGCCCTTCCTGAGAAGAGCCCGGATCCCCCCGGCTCTGCAGCGAGGCAGCTCCCTCCTCGCCCTTGAAACCGGGTTTCCCCACCGCCGGAGGTGCCAGCCACTCCAGCTTCCTCCCCCTCTCCGTCCCGTCCCCCCACCCTGCACCATCGAGCCAGGGTCCCCGTGCAGCCACCCACGGGGCACGCTTAGCCCTGCTGCTGCTCACGGTGCTTTGTAGGGCCATGGGTAGCTGCTTGCTTGCAAACACGGGAGCTGACCGCAAAGTTTCCTGTGCACGGCTTGAAATCCCTTTCCTCCTCTCCCCTGGTGCTGGGAGCCCCCCCAAAATGTCTGGCTCGTGGGGCCCCAGCGTCTCTCCCCCTCCCTGCCCCGGCCGTGCCCCGGCTGTGCGGCGTGAGCTGGGCTTGCAAAGCACGGCCAGTCCCTCCATGCCACGATGGCTCATCCCATCTCCTCGCAGCTCTTGGAAGCTTTTCCTCTCACCCTGCCCTTAATATTTGGGGTTATTGCATCGTTCCGTGTGCATCAGCTGTGGTTTATGCCCCTTCAGCCTTGTTTTATCTGCTGTGGGCTGTCCCCGGTGTCACTGGGTCCTTTCCCAGGGCTCTGCTGTTGCTCATCTCAAGCATCATCCCCTTGTGCCCTCCTTTAAGGCAGTTTGTGACAGCCGTCTTAACGAAGCTCCGATTGATAACTGTCCCAGGCTCCTCTTCTCCCATCCCCCTTTAGATGGGCCACCATGTCTAATTAATTACCTTCCTCTTGCCGTTCAATAGCTGGCTCTTGATCCATGTAATCGTATTTCTGTCCATGCTGGCTTGATTTAATTTCCCCCTTAGGATATCGCATGGCACTGTGTATCAGATGCCTCGCCGAAACCCCGGTGTGTTGTAGCCGCCGTGGCCCCTTTGTCTGCAATTACACATTGTATTTAAATAGCAAAACCCTCCAGATTTGTCTGGTTACGCTGCCGCAGAGCAAACCCTGGGTGTTTGGCTCCTGCCTGTTCCCCTGGCAGCATTTGCTTTGGGTCCTGTGCTCCGCTTTCCCTCCCACCCTGCGGATGCTGTGGTCCAGACCCCCATCCCACACGGCATCTCCCGCATCCCCATCCCAGCCCCGCCTGGGAAACCAGCCCTGTGGAAAGCCATCGTCGTGCCCCGGAGAGTCCGGGTAGGGCAGCTCCCCTCGCCCCGGCATCCTCTCCACCTCCTCCACGGGCCACCGTCCCCTTTGTACGGGGGAACAAGGGCCGGTCTGTGCGGTGCGGGGGCCTCGCACGCCTCCCCCCCGCCTCCGTGCTCGCGTGCCGGCCCCGCACAGAAGCCGCATTGTTCATCCCACGCCGGAGCTGAGGTTTCGGGGCAGCCGGGATGAGGGTTAAACCCTGCCTCTGGCTCCTGACACCCGCCGGCCTTTTCTTCCTGCTCTTCCCTTGCTTTCTCTTTCCCTTTTGCTCTGCTCCCGGGCTCTGGCTTTTCCCGGCCCTTCTTGCTTTGCTCCGGTGTTTTGGAAGTTGGTGGCTCAAAGCACGCTCCAGCTGAACCCGGCGGTACGTGAGTCCACACTCGCCAGGCGCGGGGTCCCAGCTGCTCCCTGCCCTCCCCGTCCCCCCTGAGGTACCCCGGCTGTCCCCAGGGAGAGCGGTGGCACGGCAGGGAGCCGTGGCAGGAAGGCAGACCCGTCCGTCTGGCGTTAGGGTGATTGTCCTGGCTTAGTCAGCGGCTGGTACGGATGCTGCAGGATGTCTGCTCCCTCCCCGTGCCTCAGTTTCCCTGCTGCAAAATAGGCTGTTCCTGATGTGCCGTGTCCTCCTCTCAGGGTCACCTCCGTGCCCGGCGGGCGCCCGCGTCCCTCCCCCCCGGTGCATCATGGCGTCGCGCATCGGCCTGCGAATGGAGCTGATGAAGCAGCAAGCGCAGCAGGAGGCCGAGAGGGAGCGCATGCAGCAGCAGATGATGATGAACTATATGCAGCAGCAGCGGATGCCGGTGGCTTCTACCCCGGCCATCAACACTCCCGTCCACTACCAGTCCCCACCGCCCGTGCCCGGAGAGGTCCTCAAGGTACAGTGCTGGGGGTGTGTCCCCTGCCCCCGGGGCCGAGGGGGTGTGGGAGATCCCTGATGGTTTGTCTCCTTGCAGGTCCAGTCCTACCTGGAGAACCCCACCACGTACCACCTGCAGAAGTCACGGGACAAGAAGGTTCAGGCTTATCTCTCCGAAACCTACGGGAACAAGTTTGCTGCCCACGTCAGCCCCGTCAGCCACTCTCCCAAGCCACCCCCTGCCGCGTCCCCCGGCGTCCGACCCAGCCACGTCATGTCCTCCTCGGCGGGCAACAGTGCGCCCAACAGCCCCATGGCCATGCTCAACATCGGCTCCAACCCCGAGCGGGAGGTGAGGAAGTGTCACCGGGCTGCTGGGGGCGGCAAAGGTGCTGGAAAGGGCAAAGAAGCCCACTGGGACCTTACGCCTTTCCCTTTCAGTTCGATGAGGTCATCGATGACATCATGCGCCTGGATGACGTTTTGGGCTATATGAACCCCGAAGTCCACATGCCCAACACAGTGAGTCTCTGATGCGCGTTAGGAAGAGATCAGACCCCGGGCTGCGCGAGGGAGGGTGGCCTGAGGGTCCCACAGCCCTGTGCTTGCAGGGACGGAGGTGGCGCAGAGGGGACCTGTCCTTCTGTCACGTCCCTGCGGCGATGCCCGGGTGCCAGCCCAACCCAGCCTCGTCCCTGGGGTGGGTGTCCCTGGGGACCTGGGGCTGGGGGAAGGGAGGCAGCAAGATCTCCCTTTTGCAACTGCAAGAGCCAGTTCTTCAGCTTCTTTTCCTCTTTAATGACAATTGGGAACCCTTATAAAAAGCCGGAGAGGCGGGAGAGGGGCGTGGGGAGGGACCAAGTGTCCGCTGCAGCGCGGGGGGACGTTGGTACCAGGAGAGGTTTCCCAGCCAGAAGCTCGCTCGGAGTGGCACCGTCTCCTGGGTCGGATCCGTATGCCAGTTTGTGCCTCCCAGTGGGATTCATCCTGCCGGGCCCTTCTCGGATGTGATTCATCTGCCCTATTTTAGATGCTGGCCGTGGGAGGGGATCAGCTGTGCCCTTTGAAGTCCTGTTTTCTTTGCTACTCTGATTATAGCTGTTTTAAGGGCCCAGAAAGACAATTACATCTGCCTGGGCTACGCACTCACATCCCAGAGGCCAAGCAGCTGGGCTTGAACCCCGGTCCCATGGCCCTGGATGGAGCTAACCCGCCTGTACCTCTGGTTTTCAGCTGCCGATGTCCAGCAGTCACATGAATGTCTATAGCGGGGACCCCCAGGTGACGGCCTCTCTTGTAGGTGTCACCAGCAGCTCCTGCCCCGCCGACCTCACCCAGAAGAGAGAGCTGACAGGTACGTCCCTGGCCCCCCGAGCCAGCGGGGAGCCAGCGGTGATGGTGAGCAGCAAAGCTGGCCGGGGGTGCCCTGTCCCCGCGGGTGGGGAGGGGGGTGCTGGGGGATGCCGGGGTGCTCCGACACCAGCCCAGGATGCTCGTGGGGAGAGATGCAGCCTTGTCCCCTCCGGGTGATGTTGTGGGTCTCCGTTGCAGATGCCGAGAGCCGAGCCCTGGCGAAAGAGCGCCAGAAGAAAGACAATCACAACCTGAGTGAGTTTGGCACTGGCTGCCCGCAGGTGGCACAGCTTTCCCTCTCCCACCCCCGCAGCCCTTTCCCCATCGCTCTCCATCCTCGTTCCCCTCTCTCCAAGCCGGGTCCCCCTTCCCATCCCATCTCGCCCTCAGGAAATACCCCCACAGCCCCTTGCCATGGCTCCCTCTTTCCCGGCTCTGCAAAATGTCTGCGGTGCAGGAGACACCCTGTTGTCTCTCCCGTCAGCACTGAGAAAGACAGGCCAGTCTTTCTGGTAATAGTATCGGTCAGGCCAGCCGGGGCGATGGACAGAAGCAAGGTGCCAAAGGCTTGGCCCCAGAGGTTTCTCATCCTGAGCCCCCCCGACTCCAGAGGGTCTGGCCCGGGGCACGACGGTGACTCCCAGCCCCGCGAGCCGGGAGCAGCAGCGTGGCGAGTGGGGTCGGCGGGACATTGAACCTCTCCTGCTCTTGCTGCTTCCTCACCGCCTTCCCTCTCTTCTCGCCCTGCAGTCGAGAGACGGCGAAGGTTTAACATCAACGACCGCATTAAAGAGTTGGGGATGCTGATCCCCAAGGCCAACGACCTGTACGTATCAGTGGTTTCTGTGGGGCTGGGATAACTGCGGGTCTCGTGGGCTTGCTCGATACTCGGCCCCATGGCAGGTGATACTTGCAGAGGGGCTTTTTGGTGGAGCAGGGCTGAGGGAAATGTTGCTGGCATGCAGGTGGCAATCTCTTTTTCCATCCTGCACGGCAGAGACGTGCGCTGGAACAAAGGGACAATCCTGAAGGCGTCTGTGGACTACATCAAGAGGATGCAGAAGGACTTGCAGAGGTCACGAGACCTGGAGAATCACTCACGGCGTCTGGAGATGACGAATAAGCAGCTGCTGCTCCGCATCCAGGTGAGCTTCCCTGTGCTCTTCCCTCCCTCCGCTCTGCTCCAGCCACACAAGCAGCTCACTCCTGCCCCACCGAGGGGGCGGGCAGGGGCTCCCTCCCTCTGATGGCTGTCAAGTCACCAGGAGCAAAGTCTTCAGACAAACCAGACGTCTGAGGCTCAGGTCACCACAGCGAGTGTTGTTGAGCTTTGCATGGGTCGCCATTTTAAACCCTTCAGCTCTTCCGCGGGCTCCTTCCCTGTGAGCTTCTTGGTCCCTCTGTCCCTGCCATCTCCCTGGATGCCCGCATGCCGTGTCCCCGTGTGTGACGTCCCCACCAAAGACCTCCTGTGCTCTGTTGGCAGGAGCTGGAGATGCAGGCACGTGTCCACGGGCTGCCCACCTCCTCGCCCTCGGGCGTCAACGTGGCCGAGCTGGCTCAGCAGGTGGTCAAGCAAGAAGCCGGCGGGGACGAGGGGACGCTGGAGCCACTGCTGCCACCCCCGGACCCCGAGTCACAGCCGCAGCCGGCGCTGCCTCCACCACCCCAGTCTCCCTACCACCAGCTGGACTTTACCCACAGCCTGAGCTTCGACGACGGCTCCCGGGGCTTCCCGGACAGCCTGGAGCCCGGCCACAGTGCTTCGTTCCCTTCCCTATCCAAGAAGGAGCTGGACTTGATGCTGATGCAGGACACCATGCTGCCCCTGGCCTCCGATCCCTTGTTCTCGGCGATGTCCCCGGAGGCCTCCAAGGCCAGCAGTCGCCGGAGCAGCTTCAGCATGGAGGACGCAGACATGCTGTGACGAGGAGCTGTTCCGACACTGGGGGCGAGGACTGGACCTTCAAGTTTGGTTAGTGAAGTTACAGGGCACTCTTCTCGCAGGGGGAGCCCATCCTGCCACGCACTTGAATCTACGTAGGAGTACCTTTTCTCTATGCAACGGGGGTCTCGGATCAAGGCTCGCCGGGTACCGCCGTGTCTTTCGCAAGCTTTTTTTTTTTGCCAGGAGCTGGAGCAGACCTTCTTGGCTTGCCGTGGCGTTGGCCTGACTGCAGATTCCCCAGCCCAGGAGCGTGATCTCGGCTGCTTTGCCTTTCAGCGAAACCCTCCCGGACTGTCCCCCTTCCCCAGGGTGCTGGCCCAGAGCCGGAGCGGGCAGGAACCTTCGAGTCCCTGGGAGGAGAGGGACGATGCTCAGAGCTTTTTGTCTGGCTTGCTGCCTCCTTGCCTCCTTGCCACATCCCCAACGAGTCTTCCCCAGCGGTGGCCTCCGAGCCCGGCAGATGCTTCACGGTGCCACATCCTTCACGGTTCCTCCTTCCTCGGAGCACGCGCTGCCTCTCCGGGTTGCAGGGCTGGAGGGAGAAGAGGTGCTTAATTGGAGCAAGTTAATTCATGGGGCGTGGGGGGTGTTGTCTGAGTGAGCTGGGTCTGAGGCTACGAATTCGGGTCGACGTTGAGGGCTTCCAAACTGGCCGGGACAGGGTGTTTGATGCTCGCCCAACCCCCTGCTGTGACCCCCACCTTTCAGGAGGACCCCCCCTTCAGGGTTTGGCAGCATCCACCACCTCAAAACCTCGCTGGCTTCTGGACAAGGGCTGCATGGTGCCAGGCAACCTTCAGCCTCCCTCGAGACATCCCCACAGAGCTGCCTCTGCCCCGTAACGCCAAGCTGTGGCTCTTCAGGTGGAAGGATAAAGGGGTTTTACACTTTTTTGGGGGGGAATACTTGCTGAAAGCGGGTGTCCTGCCCCACATCTGGGCATGGAGGTCCAGGCTCTGGCTGGGGGACCAGGGAACGGTTTGTACTGTTTTTTGATTGCCAAACCTGAGCCGCCGCTCTCTGCCTTAGGCTCGCAGGGTTTATTTCTCTTCCCAGCGTCGCCAGCTCGTTCCCCAGCCAGGACGGCTCGGTGATGGGGAGCTGCTTTGGGCTCTGCATCATCTTCTGCCTTCTCAGCCCGGCTGGCGGTGGGGAGGGAGCTGGGCAGGGGAGGGGGACGCTGTTCACAGGGAAAATACTGCACAAATTTGTTGTAAAGCCCAAAGGGGAGCACAGGGAAGGCTGGGGAGAGGAGACCCCTTTGTGATCCTGCACTATAGCACAGCATCACCCCCCCGGGCCATGGGAGCTGTGGCTGGATGGACGGGAGCCCACGCGGGGATAGGGGTCACTGGGTGCAGCCCGTCCTGGACCAAGGATGGGGGATGTCACGGGGTTGGGACCGCGAGAGGAAAGCCCAGCCAAGGAGGGACAAGCTTGCTCCATCGTGGTTGGATTTGGGATCGTGAGGTGGGGGGACAGCCCCGGTGCCCCCCTGGAGAGGTGTCTGTCGGACATGAGGGTGTGAGGAAGTGCAGAAGGCGGGGAAGAGAGGGGAAAAGGAAGAGGGAGGACATGTCGGAGGTGTAGAGCGCTGGGGCAGGGCAGGGTCTGGCTGCTGCCCTGCAGGGGTGCAGGGAAGGGAGCGGAGGGGACGTCGGGGCGCCGGATGAGGGGCACGGGGATGCGCGCTGGCAGGTTTGGGGCTGCTTCACCCCACATGTTCACGGGAGGCCTTGGCGTCCTTCGTGCGCTGCCGTTAGTGCCTGTAAAGAGAATAATCCCCCCTGGCAAGGCGGCGGCGCCCCATATGCTGTGCTGAGTACCTATAGGTGTGGGTGATCTGTGGATCTGCGGACACCAAAGGGTCTGCGTGGGTGCTTCAGGGCGGGCTTACGAAATCCCTGGTCGCTTGGGATTATCGTGGCTATAAGGTGGTTCTGCTGGGCCCTCGCTGGTGGTACATGGCACGTGCAGGGCTGGCTGGGGTGCGTGCCCGCTCTGCGCCCTGCTCCTGGCACCGGGGGGCAGAGGACCGTCCGCTGC